ATTCACCATATCATTGATAAACACTGGTGAAAAAGTGGACTGTTGCTGTGTGAATCCACGAAGAAAGTTTAAAAAAATACTCGCGATTTAGTTTTTATTTTTTTGCCGAGATGAATATTTTTAGTTACTGTTAACGACACAAAAAGCGGTCGTGTATCAAAACATTCTACGTAAAAAGAGGACAGTTCAAGCTGTCACGTAATTTTTGTTCGAGATTGTTTGGCATTTCATCATGGAAAGACTTATGCCTAAACGTTTACAAATCCTTCAACTTTATTACGAAAATTCTGTAAAGGATGTGTTTCGCGCCCTTCGATCAACTTATGGTCAATATAAACAGCCTACTTATCGTTCTAATTRAGACCAAGCATTCAATTTTGTATAATATACTCGTATGTATATAGACCACGTCCAGCACGCAGTGAAGAAAATATAACAGCCGCAGCTGAGAGTTCCGATGTGCTGACGCCCATTACCACGTCATGATAACCGACTACTTGATGCCAACAAGACCGCGCCACTTCCCACTCATCACATCAATCAAAAGTCTTATTGATAGGACATTTCGGTGAGCAGACAATTCCACGTTTTGGCCGGTCGACGGGCCACCCAGATCGTGTGATATCACACCGTTATTTTTTTTTTTCTGTAGGTGTGTAAAGTCTGAAGTCTATGCGGCCGATCCGCTTCGATTCAAGTCTTAAAGCAAAACATCACGCGTGTCGATAATTGGAATTGACGGATGGACCATGGGTGAAGTAYCCGCGGCCAATATTTGAAAGAGATAAGCTTAAAAAATAAATGCAAAAGKCTGTTCTTTCGAATTATAATACACATTCCCCATTAAATTTGAAGTTTCTGTATTTTTTTTTAAGTAGGGAAACTCGAAATAAATCACCTTTTTCATGTTTATGTGAATGCCAGAATCTTCATATAGGTGGTTTTATGCTGGCGCAACTAAACTTAATTACTTGAGAGAATTAGCAGACGGATWTCTTTCTTTTTCCTTTAATAAAATGCAAGTTGAAGGTGCTATG